GTTGTTGTTGTTGTTGTCATTGCGGTTGTCGGCGCCACCTTTTAATGGTATCCATTTGTAAATGCCGCAGGAATTAGTGGTCCCTGTAAATAAACGTTTCGTGGAGAACAAAACAAGCAAACACCAAAAATTATTTAAATAAAATGCAATTTCTAGTTGCATATCTACGCACACACATATATGTATGTATTTATATAAGTATAGGTATATAATTATCGATATATAGAAAGTAAACATTAAGAGGTACACATATATGTACTGAATATAGAGATAGAAGTGGCAAGTTGTCGAAAGAAGATAAATCGGAAATTGAAAAACTTTTATTTCGTTACTAGCAAATAAAATTATTTAAGAATTTTCACAGAACTCTGGCCAGGTTTGATAAAGAGGAAACAGGTATTTTGACATTAATTTCTAAATTGCTCAATAAATTAAATAAACTGAACATTTTATAAAAAAGAAAATGTTGAAGAACTGAAACAGGGAACTGAAATTTAAGCTTGTTTTTGACAATACTGTTTTTCGATCAAACAAAAACATTTAACTATGCACATAAAATAATTAAATAAAAATGCATTTCCCCAGAGGCTTCTCCTGATTGTCATGTCCTTTATCAAACCTCGCCGACAGCCATGGATAATAAATATGTTTTGATATGATTCATTTTAGTTTGCAGCGAGGCATGGGAGTATTGAAATATTGAAGTACGAAAATATTCATATATAATACATATATGGTGTATACAATTTAAATAAATAATAATAGTTTAATTGAAACGGCCTAGAAAACTGTGCTTGTGACGTGCATACATATTTTTACGTTTGTTTATTATTATTATTTTTTTTTTTTGTAATTTTTTGTTTGACTAGTTGTAGTTAAAAGAATTTGATTGTTAATAATTGAAATCGTTTAGTTGAAAAAAGAAGAGAACACGCTGTAGTTTGTTGGTGTGCCTACCTTGTGCAACTGCGTTTGTTTTATACTCTTATTTCTTTTGTTTGCTTTCGTTTAGCTTTATTTTATTTGTATTTTTTTCATATATTTTTTCGATTTAAATATATAATGGGTTTCTTTTACTTTTTGCATATCTTTTGTTTTGTTTTTTGTTCTCTTGCATTTATATTTTTGGGTTATCAGTCTTTTATATATTAGCCATCGCAAAGTTCAACGAATAAATCTGTACGAAATGAAAGAGAAATACATACAATATATAGAAGGATAACGCAATAGTTTAGCTCTACATCGGCAGTCTCTCCTTATCTCTACGGTATGAGTGTGTATGGGTGTGTTTTCAATGGTGAAGGATTCGGGATCGAATCGCTAATCTCGAGGCTCTCGACACTCGAGAGTCTCATGTGGATGTTTCGTATCGCTCGCTTAGTATCTAACTCTAGACCCAAGTCCCAGGATCCGGGGATCCCGGAACTTGAGGATCCTGCTCGCAGGACCAAAAGGACGACTCACCGGGCTGTAGTTCAACGGGGCGCGGCTGACGGCGATGGGGAAGCCGGACGGCTGCGGACTGGTGGCCTGCACGTAGCCCACGTTGTCGCCGGCCGCCGAGCTGTACATGTCGATGGTCGGGCCGGGGGAGTTGGTCGAGGGGAATCCCTGCCGGGTGGCCGTGTTGGCGGCGGCGGCGTGCGGCGATGCCGACGGACCGTAGCTGTGGGCAGCCGCAGCAGCCGCCTGATAGTTGTTCATCACTGGAAAAAGGGTAAGGAATACTTGGTTAGTTAAAAATAACCAAAAAAAAAAAAAGACTAACTTTTGTTAGAAAAAAATGGAAGTTACTTTGTTAAAGTAGGGCCGATAACAGGGTATTTAAGTATTTAAATATCAAAATATTTTTTTCAGGCCTCTAAATTGTAAAAATGGCAACAAATCATAAACATGTTTACAGTATTACCAGAAACATGAGTAAAATGCTAGACAAATAAAACTCAACCTTTTTAAATGTTCACAGAAGTTATTACATTCGTTTGAACAATCATTTCTATAATAATTATTATTTGATAAGCAAATAAAATAAAAAACAAATGTTGTAACAGAAGTGGTTGAAATACAGTTTGTTTGATGGAAATACATTTGTTAACATAAATTGCTTAATTGAGAAAATATTTTCACAATAAAGGTATGATTCAAGTTAACACTGTTTTATTGAAAAATCAAGTAATATGATCTTAAATAAAAAAAAAATTTTATGGCTGTGAAACAATTCTTTTGCAAAACGCTCTATGCAGTTTATTATATCATACTGATCATAAAATGTCAAGCATTTCGTAGAAAAAAAGCATGCTAAAATTAGTTGTCTGTTGTTTTATTTATAGAATAAAAATCTGAAGCTAAGTTAATTATGCACATCAACATTAGTAGACCAAATTCATTAGTCAAATATTTTTAAATTCTTGGGGAAACATTTCTGATCTAATAATTTTATGATGTATATTCCCATGATTTTAAAAACGATTGACAGACATTTGTTTGTTACTGGAATGCTATTTGGTGGCAGTAAATAATCGTAAATGATGACTTGTATGAAGCGATTTGTGGGGATTCTTTTTACCAGATTAGTTATCTTTTAAACTACTCAATGTTTTTCTTAAACAAATAATCCTTGAAAAAGAGGAGACTCACCTGAAAGCGCCTGGGTCAGCAGCGGTGTGTTGTTGTTGGGTGTCAGCTGCCCGTTGGTTAGATCAACTGTAAGTGGCAAAAGAGGGCGAAAAGGGGTGTGATTAGTGGGGGCGGGCTAAAATAAGGGGGCGGATCACAACTAGGCGAGTAAAAGTCGGGCACTTTTAGGAGGTGACCGCGACACAAGAGTATACGAAAGTAATCAAGGCTGAGCTCTAAGGATATATGGGTAGGGGTACATGTACGATAGGAGAAGGTCTTGCGAATCGAGTATATATATAGTATATAGATTATATGGAGTGAGAGAGTATTCGAGTATGCGATTGTTATACATGTGGCTATAGCTCTGTTATATCGGTGTGCCGAGGAAGCAAACAATCAAAAGCGAAAGTAAACAACTCTAACTAGTCCCAGAACAACTACGATGCCAAACGCAAACACAAAGGACGAACCAAAGAGCGAAAGGAAGTACCTACGTACAGAAAGTATAAATGGATGTGAGAGGGGGAGGAAGCGCTAACTGGAACGCAGGTTATGAAAACACAAAGTGCTCGGTTATTAAACGGGATTTCGGGAAAAGGGGAAGCCAGGGGGGTTGCAAGGGGGGTGAGAGGGGGTTGATGTTGACGCTACGGTGACAAAACAAAGCCAAAGCCAAACTAAACCCAACCAAACCAATCCGAACCCATCCAAACTCAGTTACTACGCTTGGTTTGCCCACTGATGTGCACTTTCCTTTGGGCGCTCCTCCTCGCTTTTTCCCCAGATCCAACCAGATTTCCAAACCCAACCCCACCACCCACCACCCCTCTGTGACTGCCTCTTTTTTTCGCCCGTTATCATTGTTATCGTCGTCGTTTTTTGTTGTGGCTGTTTTCCCTTGTTATGGCCACAGCTGCAGCAGCAAGTAAAAATACGCCAGCGCCAATATTGAAATGACAACAGAATGCGAATGTGAATGAAGGCAAGCGAAAAAATGGGTAACGGGTTATGGGTTATGGGTTCTCGTTCTCGTTCTGATTCTGATTCTGATTCGGTTTCTGGTCCTGGGAATCGGAATAGGGATATAGTGGGGAAATCTGGGGCATGGGCGGAAACGTAGCAGTTGCATTTCCTGCGGAAACACAAAAATTGATGTAACGTAACGTGACGTAACGTAACGAGGCATGTCTCTGGCAGTCGTTCGGTTATTGTTGCCACCCCCATCCGCCGACCATTTTACACCCAACCCGTTCACCACCCCCCAACCTCCAACTCCCCCCGACGACGACCTTCGTCACCGCCGTTGTGCGTTTTATGGCGCCAATCAACTTTGGCTTACGTTTAGTTTACGTTTTTGTGCGAAATCTCGGTGCGCCATGTTGTTTTCATTAGTGTTGAGTCTGGGAACTCTGGCACAAAGAAGCGCCCGAAAAACCGAAAACCGAAATAAAGAGCCCGTAAAAGCAGTAGCAGTTGAAATAGCACCAACGGTTGCCTTTTGTAAATAAATAACTTATTTAGCCGGGGTTTTTTTCCCCGGTTTGCCATTGCATGAAATGCGTTTCCGCTGGAATCTGGGAGGGAAAAATGTTCTCTGGATTGGTTGTGGGTTTGTGGCAAAATTGCAATTGTCAGTCTTGCGGTTGCGGAAAAACAACTGTTACCAGCTGTCGACCTGGCAACCCTGTTACGGCTACAATAAAAGGTTAAATTGAGACATTTCCACGAACAAAATCGGTCAACAGAAGACATTTACATGATACTACACAGTTTCAGATAAAGTTCTTTTTTGTTTCGGGGGAAGGAGTTATATTTAAACTACCGTTTACATAAAAATAGGTAGGTACTTAGATATGTGAGGGGTTATACGAGTACACGTCGTATGGTTACAGCTGTTCGCTACTAATGAATGTGTTACATGATACATTTTTTTGTAAATTAAACACTATTTCGCGCTACATCAGCGTCTGACGCTTGAGCTAATGTCGGTATTGTTAGTTTTCGATGTGTGTTAAATGTTGTATAAAACAAACTTTCTCAAACAAAAGAACACTACACAGAAATTTATATAAATATATATATATATGGTTTTCAACTACGACTGGCGCCCAACGCGGGACATTCAGTTTACAATTTTGTGTGGTTTTATTGCGCTCTTTGCTAAAACTTTTTCTATCAGCTAACAGTTTACATACAGTTAATAATCGTAAATGTGAAAATTTATTCGGTTATGGAGCCAAAAACGGTTATAGGTTCAATATAAAGATGAGTATACGTATATAAAAAGAGTATAATGCTTGTACGAATATGCATTGGAACAATAAGACGACCATTAGCTGACCTTGTTGACTGATTTGCTGTTCTTGTTGTTCTTGTTGTGGTTGTCGTTGTTGTTTTCGTTGCTGCTGTCGTCCGTTGTTGCCACGATGTCCTTGCCAAGTTGCTGTCACAAAATTACGCATACGCCCCGATGGCCACTTTGTCACTCACTTCACCCCGTCAATTCCACTTTCCTCTGAATCGCTAATAATTGAGGGGGATCGGAAAATGGCCTTCCCAAAAGGATAGACTTTTGCTTGGGTTTTTCGGTTTCGGTTTGCATCCGCATTTATTTGATTTTCTCTTTATTTATCTTAGTTTTGTGCATTTATTTAGTTAATAACTTTTCGTTTTCCATTTGGTTTTCTTGATTTCGATTTTAATTTCGATTTCGTTTCTGCGCAAGCAAATGGTTTTCTTGTTCTCGTTTGAAGCGTTTTCTTATAAATCACAGTATATACGTGTAAAATACATATTGGAATATGCGCAGGTGTGTGTGTGTGTGGGTGTTCGTGTCTGTGTTTGCTATATAGGTTTTGTAAATAACTCGCAAGCGTTTGGTAATTGTCAATTTAAATAGTTGCAAAATACCTCAAAGCAGTTTCCCGGGCATCCGGATGCCGCAGAATTGCGATAGTTGCATTCAATTAACTAAGTAACAGCTTAACCATCTATATAGAGTTATTGACCGATCTTTTTTCGTATAGGTTTCAAGAGTGTTTGTGTTTAAATAGCTAGGAGTGTGTATGTGTGGGCGAGACTTACATGGAGGGGTTATAGAAAAATTGCATTTTTCATCAACTTAAGAGAGAGATTTGTTGATTTTGATTTTTGGTTTTTGGTTTTTCATTCGTTTTTCTTGTTTTGGCGCTGCTACGTTGCTCTTCGAAAATGGATGGACATTAATATTGTATTTTTCGTTATTGTACAAATCAAATCGATTCACGCTTCGTATAAAATGAATATTTAACTTAGCTTGTAAACGTCGTATATTAAATATGTATATATAAATATTTATGTATATAAGGTATAGTATATAGGTATGTATATAGTAATGTCTATATGTACTTTAAATAGAAATGTCGAAAAATTTCGCTCGTTTTGTTTTGCTGTTTAGCCATTTTGGAATTCTTGCGATGCACCGATGAAGGAAGGAATTTATATAGTTTTGAATGCTTCAAGGCTTCAATTCGTTTGTGGGCCAAATGCAGTTTGCTAATACATATGAAACGGAATAACACAGCTACAGATAATGGGCAAATCTACTAATTAATGAACTTTAGCTATGGCAAAAATCTCTGCACGTTTGCTAATTATCTAAAAACTCATGGGACCACCGACAACAACGGAAGCGAAAACAAAAACGGACTGGGGAAATGGGAACTGGGGGAAATGGATATGGAAAGCGCTGTGGAAAAAAGGAAAAATTGCATACATAATGTGCAGCAAATTAATTAAAGGATAATAATGGCACTACATGTGACAGGCCTGCTAAAATTTGTTGTTATCTAAATGTTTTTCCATGTGCACTTTCGCCGTTTGTTGTGTGTGCGTCTGGGTGTGTGTGTGTGTGTGTGTGTATGTGTGTGTGGGTATCAACTAATTTATGCATACAGGGACTACAAATGAAATTTGCATTTAAATGCTACGGTAAAATAGTTTTATAAATAATAGATATGCGTCCCTGAACCGGGAAACAAATGGTCGCAGGTCGAGGGGTGTGAAAAAGCGAAAGATATATACTCGTATACGTATATTTTTGAGTGGGTGGAGGAGCTTGTATGATGATCGAGTATAGTTCGCTATAGAGTTTCGTTACAGTACAGATATTGTGTCACATTGCTAATTAGGGTTCTAGAGACAGATAGTAGAGTGTGTCCGTGAGTATTTGAGTGATTATGCTGGCCTACGATTCTAACGATTCTAACGATTCTAAGTACTCGATTACATCCGATTACGGAACTGCGCTAGGATCGATTATTACGGGTGCTAGCTGCTCTATAGATATGCTATATAATTATAGGTTGTTTAACTGGGGGATGCCGCTAGTCACTACTGAATACTGCTGCGGTAATTGGTTAACTGCTCCAACAATACTATATATGGGGAATACTTTCTCGGGAGATTCTAGTACGTTGCTTTCGCTTGTATGTGTGTAGCTCTAAGTGTGTGTGTGTGAGCGTGTGTCGAAGTTACATTTTCTATGTAGTTCTCTTCAAATCTCTCGTTGGCTTCTCCGCTCTTTTCGCGACACTTTATGTGTGTTTTTCCGTGGTTTGAACAGTGGCTTTTTAATCTGTTTGTTGCAGTGGTTACCATTTACCGTAGTCACAAGCTAAACTAACGCTCTGGGTTGCACATTGCATCGCTTCCAGCTCTTCCAGCTGCTGGTGGCATTGGAGTTGGAGTTGGAGTTGGAGTAATGGCTGTACCTACTTGTCACCGCTCGAATGATATCATATATAGTTACTTGACTCAGAAAAAGGGCGGCAATGAAAACGGAACTCTGGATCCCACATTTTCATTCTCATTCTCATTAGCATTCTCATTTCTCAATCTCAGACTTGTGCGATTCGATTCGATTCGGTTCGGTTTTTGGCTTGGGTTCTCGCTTAGAAATTAATGTTGCCCAGAAACTGCGATTTGATGGCCGCGGTTCGAGCCGTCAGCGCCGTGGCCAGCGGCAAGGTCAACGCCTGTTGGTGGTACGCCGACTGGGCGTGGCCGGGGGCGCCACCAGTGGGGGCAACGCCCCCCGCCGCAACGGCCGAGGCGCCGCCAGCGGGGGCAGCTCTGCTGCGGCCCGGGGCAGCGCCACAAGCGGTACCGTAACTTCTACCGATGCCGCAAATTGTCAAGCCTACAAAATCATACGAGATACAATATAGATGAAGAGAGAGAGAGATAGAAAGAGAGGGGGCAAACAGAAAGATATAGCCTGTCCATGAGCCTAGAGCTGTAGAACTATCGATTGGGGATGGGGTTGATATCGTAAGCATTAGCAAGTAAATTTGAAATCTACTTGCAAAAGAAAGTAAATATTACCGTTACAAACAATATTTAATGCTCATTGTAAGGTAGGAGGTAAAAAGTATTCCTTAGAAATATCTTGATCAATTTATTTTGCAAAAGTAGCATATGGCATAATATCAAAACTTATGCAGAAATATTGTCCCGAAATAAAAAACCAAATTGATTTGGCTTTTTGATTCGTAACATTTAATTTAAATTAAAAAGAGCTCAACGATTTTGTACAAAAACAAATTAACAATACTTTTTATTACTTAAGAAATAAAATTGAAATCTTTCTAACACAAAAAAAAAAAAAAAAAAAAATTTTCAAATATGTATTTAAGCCTTTTTAATGTCAACAAGCCAAATTTTAATTTCAATGAAAAGTGAAGGGATTAAAAATAAATAATTTTTGTTAACACATACTTTTTGAGTTCGGAAAACGTAACAAATGTTTCAAAGATCAAACTCTGGTAAAATATACACACATATAATCTAGTATATAACCGAAAAAAAAGTGTTAATGTCCTGCGAAATCGATTGTTCAACAGTTCCAGCTCGGACATATGGCTTTAAGGGGTCGGGGGGTTAATTCAGATCAGCTAGAAGCCCTAGTAGCCAGTGTTGGTAAAGTGTGTTCAGTGGTGGGCAAATGATAAACTCAAGGCCAAGCAGCTTCAATGACATACATCTGCAGGATGCGCAGGACTCAATTCTAGGGGGTTCTAGATGTCGTATGTGGTGGCATATGATTTAGAGTGATTTCGATTGGTTCCGATCTTCAGCTATTTGTGCATTGATATGACGAACGCTTGGATATTTTTTTTTTCGTTTTTAGAAAACAGTGATTTATTTCGTATATGATCATGATCTCTGAGTAATACTCGACAGATAGTCATTGGGCTGGGGATCGTCCTAAGCCATATAGTCGCCGATCAGTATCCGATTCTCCGGCACCACGCCCATCACACCCGCTGCAAAGCAAAAACACAAGACAGAAGAAATCAAAATAATAAAGAGTGAGGAACACAGATGTCTGATTGTATCTGGATATGAATTGAAGATACGAATCGGGCGAGAACATCGAGGGCTAGCGAATCGTCACAAGATCTAGTTGAGTTAGTAATGCTAATGGGGGTTATCGGTTATCGGTTATCGGTTATCGGTTATCGGACGCCTTTCGTCATATCAAGTGGCACAGATTGTTGTTCGGTTGTTCGGTGGGTTTCGATGGGTTGTGTTTTTCGGATTTTGGTATTGGTTTTGGTTTCGGTTTTAGTCACTGGGATTGCTTCGCACTCTCACTCACATACAAATAATGAACAGAGGGGTCTGAGTATGTGCGCATGTATGTGTGCAGGTCTCAGGTGTGCGTGTGTACGTGTGGGTGTGGATGTGGGTGTATTTGTGGATGTTTTCTTGTGGGTGTGAGCCGCACTTACCAGTTGGATAGGGCAGTCCAAAACTGGGATAGCCCGAATATCCGCGACCAGCGGCATATGCAGCATAGGCAGCTGCCGGAAAACCTGTTCAAAATAAAAATATAAAATACATATTAGCGATTATTCAGATTATATGGAGTGCATAGCTCACCTTCGGGCAATGTCCCCAGTCCCCACATGATGTTATCTAAGGGAGTCGCATGGAAAACAAGAGAGAGCACAGAAAAGAAAGGCATAAAACAGATAATTACTGACACTCACACGATTATATCATAGCTAATGAGTTCATATTCAAACAAAAGAGTATCGAGATTATATCGGGACTAATTGTTATAGATAGTGTAAATATGAGCGACTGCTCTACTATATTTAATCGTAATGTGTACTTAGAGTTCTAGTCAAGTGTGAGTTGGCAACTAAGGAACTGCCGCTATATACTAGTTATATATTATATAAGTTCTGGTTCTAAGAAATGTTCTGCGACTGCACTCGATTCTTTTTTCCAGTGCATAACTAGTGGGGGGAATAAGTTCCGCGCCCATTTTTGTTATTTTCTGCATTAACAGCCTTGATTTGAGCTATGTTTATATAGAGTTATATGTAGAGTTACACTTGTTCGATATACCGCAGATATGACACAATTCTAAACACTTATTAGATATGTACGCAGTTATATTCTAAGACATTTAGTATCTAGGCTAGGAGTATAAATTTGTCTAGTTATATTTGTTTTTAATATTAATCTTCGAGTGGGGGCAATTCTAAGGCCTGTCGTTGTGCATTTCTACAAAAATGCTCCATGTCTTCAGGCCATTGCCCCGCACTGCAACTAGTAAATTAGGAAAACCTAAAAAAGTAAGTCAAAACTAAACACACAAAACTATAAGTATGTGGGCTAGATAATCACTACAACTCAAGGGGAGAATATAGGAAGGTTGACAGCTATTAGATGGTAATTAAGGAATTTGTATAAATTTTGCATCGGTCGAGGGTCACTTCCGTTCCGCTTTCTCAGCATCAATTTCCTCCACTTTCTCCGCCATTTCTCTGCCCATTCACATCACTTTCTCTGGCTCGTTCGTTCATCTTGGGCATCGAAGGGTCGACATCGTCTCGTTTCCTGTACTTATCATCCTTCGAATGATGCAACTTAGGCTAATGTTACACTGCATTTAACTAGAGAATTTGAGCTTGATTCGGATTTTGATTTTGATTCCGTTTCGAATTCGAGTTTGAGTTTGAGTTTGAATTTGAGCGCTTAATGCGCTTATCGTAATGCAATAGATGTGTGTATTGTATGTGGTTATTTATGCATGTATAATAAATAGCTAGTTTCGAGTTTAGTCAAATATTAATGGCTATGGGCAAACAATATGTGTTTGTATGTTATGCATGGCAACTCGAACTGGGAGACGGCGGGCAACTGGGGGAGTTGGCCCATACCGGCCATCAGCTGTCTGAGCCGTAATTTGCCAGGGCCCTGTAATTGGCCCGAATGCACTGCACACATCCATTATCCATGATCCATTTCGGAAAATTACACTCCGACAGCTGTCCGGCCGCAACGCTGGCATCTGCCCAGTCCGGTCATCAATTTTTCAAAAACTAAACTTCGTTACACACATCGCATTTCTAATACTTGCTCGGCCTCCTTCGGCTGGTTTACTTAATCCAACTTAATCGCTAATTCGATACATTCGATACTAGTTTCCAATCCGATTCGATTTGGCCGCCGCTCTAGATAAATACGCCTTTTAAATAGCTATTGATATGAGAGTTTACGTATAGGTTTTTTTTTAAGAAAAATGTTCGATATACAAGAGAATCCGTTTAAAAACATAAATGAGTGTTTCCTATGGAGCTGATGACTTGTTTGTTTAATTCGAAACATTAGTTTTGTATTCGTTACATTCTTAAGTTCTAGAAAAGTCGCAATGCCAGCTTGTCTAAGACATATTACGATCGCCGTCTAAGGTCTAAGGTTATCGATGGCCTCGATAAAAATCTAAGCAGCCCTCTAGGACCTGCACTTAGCCTAGATAATATAATATATATCTTAAGTAAGTCAAGTTCGCTTAAACGCTAAGGAAAGAAAACGAATGCGCCGCTATTCGAGTAATTTAGTTAAATAACGCATACGCCGCGTGGCCTAAACGCAGCTTAGACAGTCACAAAAATAAGTTACGGTATATATATAGTACATATGGCATAAGTAAGTACATGGCTAATTGTAAGTAGAAGTACACGTAATCCTAGGCCTAGCCGCTTATCATATTTTTTGGACATTGAGACGGAATGAGAGTCTTTATATATAGGTGTAGCATAGTGTGTGATTTGAGCGTGTCTTATGATTGTTTGTTTTGTGTGGGTTTAAAGGTTTGCCAGTTTTAACTATCATCAGATAGTGGAAGTTTGGGAAAGCTCTGAAGTCCTCAGCAGATTCAATAGGTTGTGTTTGGTCAACAGAATTTAATTTAATGGTGCACAACACCCTTCAATTTAGCTCACAGTATTATAATTTACCTAATCAAATATAAACGCATTTTGGGAAAAATTACTAACTCACGATACAAATGCCCGCTTTTAGTTTAAAATATAATATTAATTGCAATGTACTAAAGTTTCATTCATTACTCATGGCCAAAATTTAATTTTTTGCCTTGTTAATAACTAATATTTGCTTCAAAAACAAAAGCCTCCTTAAACTCAATATTAATTATTTGATTAATTTATTTTGTTACCAATTATTTTAAAAAATGGTAAAAACCCTTTGAAAGAGTTCTTTAAACCATTGGAGACGCATTAAAAACATTTTCTACCAATTCCTGTTTTTTTTTAAGAAAACTTATTCTATTTCTAATTATTTTTAAAACACAACCCCGTGAATGCTTTAACTTTACTGAATTTAAAAACAAAGAAGGCTATTATTAAGCGAAAATGCTTTCAAGTAGTGGAAATTTAGCTGGCAGTCCTTGATAAACCAAAGAACTGTGAAATGGAAAGAGCTTTGGAGTTCGGAGTAGTTATTTTGAGGACCCTTTTGGATGCTCGAAAACCAGCGGGACACTGCTTAGAGGGCTCACTGTGGCCTGGGCGGTCAGATCCCGGGCAGCTGGTACAGTGAGGCCGCCGCAGCCGCCGCTGAATTGGAAATCGGGGCCTCCATGCCGCCCTGCATGGCCAGCAATTCGCTTAGCGGATAATGGGCGGCGGCCAGGGCGGCATTTTGCCGCAGTTGCGCCTGCTGCAGTTGGGCGGCGGCGGCAGCAGCGGGACCGCTGGCAGCGGCCGCTTGAAGGGCGCCCAGAGCGGTGGTCGCCGGGGCACGAAGACCGCTGCTAACAGCCGCCGCTGCCAAAAGACGCTTATAGCCAACAACTGCAGCTGCATCGGCATAAAGGGAGTTGGCCAGGGCGGCGTTGCTCTGGCCCGCTGCGAACTGCAGCAGAGAGGGCGTGGCAGGCGGAGCGGGATTGGCGAGTGGCAGCAAACCGGGCGCAGCACCTGCGGCAGCCGCCACCACTTGGGCCAAACTCTGCTGCTGCTGCTGTTGCTGCTGCTGCTGGACAGCAACTGCTTGTTGTTGCTGCTGCTGCTGCTGTTGCTGCTGGTGGTGTTGCTGCTGGGCGGCAACCACTGCTGCCGCCGAAAGGTGGGCGGGCAGCGGATAGGGCGTGTAGCGGAGCGAACCCAACAACTGGCTGTGTGTGTGGGCGTGTGGGTGGTGGGGGGCGTGGCTGTGGGCGGGCGACTGTGGGTGTGTGTGGTGCAGCTGCTGGTGGTGGTGCTGCTGCTGCTGTTGCTGCTGCTGCTGCTGCTGTTGCTGCTGCTGCTGCTGGTGCTGCTGCAGCACGGAGGCGGCAGCGGCTAAACTACTCGGCAGCAGACCGGCGGCGGCGGCGGCGGACGTGGCCGCCGTCGAATGGGCGTGGCTGCTGCCCCAGACTACCAACTCACCGTAAGCGGAGCGACCGGCAGCCCGCGTCTTGGCCAGGTTGGCCGGCAGCATCACCTCCTTCGGCTGCGCCTTCTTGCACTCGACCTGAAAGGATACCGAAAATATGTATATGAGTATTACAAATACTACAAATAGTCTTTTTAAGACTTTTCGAAAACAAAAATTTTATTACTTGGTAAGTTTTTTAAAAGCCAAGCGTTTAACTTTTAATTTGTTTAATTAATTAAATTGGTTTTACTTGCTACCTCTTTTAACTGAAACTTTTATTCCAATCCAAACTTAAAATGTGGGTTTTCTTAAGTTAAATCCATAGTTATTTAAAATATATTTTGGAATATAACAGAATTCAGTTTTTATCATTTGTTGGTTTCATATTGTTGAGTTCATTTTTTGCCTTTGAAAGTTTAATATTTGGCTTTAAATGTAGGCTATTGGTTTTCTATGTAGGCTTATACAAAAATTGCGTTGTTTTGTTTTTTTTTTACACTCAATTCAAAAGTTATTAAAAGCATTTCTTTTTATAGAAATGATTAATTCAATAATACTAACTAGCTATACAAAATCTTAACACATATTTTGACTTTATGGTAAATTATTTAGGCAAACATTTTACCCTATTTTTCATTTGGTAAAGAAATTCAGACCATGCAAATCTAGGTTGTGTTCGCTCCTTTTCTTTCTTTTTTTTAAACATGTTTTCCAAAAATTTGATACATGAGCAATTTCGCTGTAATAAAACCCCAAATTGATGGCCAATTTAGGGCAGTATTTTTCTCTGTATGGCCGAATAAAAACTAAGAGCCAAGTGTGGGGTCGAAGTGGAGGGGCAAGGCCTCCTGGGCTGCGATTCAGACCGCCACGCTTCACTTACCATTTTGTTGTTTATCTCGTGGAAATGAATTTCGCAAACTTTGTCTACCACATCTTCGCTTTGAAATGTAACGAAGCCAAAACCTGCAAGAGAAAAGAACCAAAGTGAGTGAGTGAGTGAGAGTGGGCAAAAAAGTTTAAGGGCTGCAAAAATTGAACGAAATATGCTTTTGTGTGAGCGAGCGGCTAAATAATTTACTCAAGTGTCGGGACCGAGACAGAGGCGGTGGTTCCCCGGCCCTTAACCCCCATTTTACCCCCATGCCATCGCCCCTCTTAACCCCCTGCCGTTTCTGGCCAGGATTGCTGTCCTCCGGCTGACCTCAATATGCATCCCCTGCAGGGTTTTCAAGTGGCGGCTGGGCGAGTAATTCAAACACTGGCCGCTCCGAGTTTACATAATAAACTTTGCCAGCGGACACAGCTCAGGGCCTCTTCCCCTTCCCCTCTTCTTCTTCAGCCACGCCCCCTTCAACCCCCGACGACCGCCTTGGGATCGGGCATAATAACTTTGTCCTAATGGCCGGCCAGTGGAGCTATTTTTGATATCTTCCAATTGGAGGCTGACGGAGAACTTAAATTCCTGGAATGTCAAGTCATTCGGGGGGTTTTTACGGCCCGAATTGGGAAAGGATTTATTATGGCTTAATTAAATTTCTTCCATTTGTTGCCGCTGCAGTTTGTGCCTGCAAAAGTTTAGGTTGCTTTATTTTCTTTCCGAAAAGGAGTTTTTTCAGGAGTGGGATCCATGATAGTGCTTGGCCATTTTTTGAATTTATTCAGGGCTTGCAGTCTTTTCATTCCAAAGTGCAGTAGTTTAGTTATTGTATGCAATTAATTGGGTTTATTTTATTTAAGTTTTATAAAGGCAAGGCAAGGCTTTTTTAAAGGGTTATTTACATGTTCAATAATAAAACTAGGAATTTTTGGGTTATAAGATATATGGATAATAAAATTAAACATATAACTATTATCGGATTTTCTAATCACTTCGTTTATGAAAAAGAATCTTATTAAATCAATGTTTTTGAATTTAAGTAATGTTAAGTTGGCTTTGGCAAGCTACTCTGTTTACCATTTAGAAATAATTTACTTGTAAATCGAATGATATCAATGCAATTAAAGTACACAACCAATTCAGAGGCCAAACTTAAACGGAGAAAGAAGTTGCAATGGCTTAATTATAATTCCTGGAATGGAAATTTCCTTGAAAATCGCTTGTTGGTAACTCCTTGTAAGTAGAAGCCGAAAGTAAGAAGCAAGTTGCCATCAGATTGGGTTCTATAAAATTCCCTTTCCGGCTCTCGCTATCCTCTTAATGCTCCTCGCTCGCTCCTTTTCTCCGGTTTCGCTTCCCTCCGATTTCAGCACTTCGGTCTTATCGGGGCTTTTCAATTAGCGCAATTGTCTGAGATTTCACATGGCCGAAAAAGAAGGGCTCGCTCTGTGCAATTAGCAAGGCCAAGTGCAGACACCTGATGCCTGATGCCATGTTGCCCGCATTTTGTTTGTCTACGTGTGTTTGCCTTGTCGTGCGGGCGGATGGGCGGCTGGTCGGATGGTCGGGATGGGCGGGATGAGGGGGCGTGGCCAAGCTGGGCGTAACTGACAAATTAGTTGAAACAAGTAACAGTAAACACGCAGGCTTATTAGCGACATGTGCCGAGCCGGAGAAGCTCCGAGGTCCTTTTCCTTGAGGCAACGTGCGGGCTGCTTGGAGTGTGTTTGTATTTGTTTTAATTATATAAAATTAGCGCACGTTGCAATGTTGCACGTTGAGCTACACGGTATAACAAACATCCCGCCACTTGATACTCACTGCAGAAATATCTGTGGTAATCATCAAGTGAAGCTCGTAATCAAACTGAACATTAAATAATATTTTCAAGTACAACTTAGATGAAGTTTTTAAATAAAAATGTAAAATAAATAAATATATTTGGAAAATGGTAAGATACATTTTTGCGCTAAATATTTATATTTATTTTTGATTCATTTTATATTTATGTTTGATTTAAAATGTGTAAAGATTTTCGAAAGCTTTATTTCTCAGATCGCCTCTATCATTGTTATTATTATTTAATGTGTAGCTTCGAGCCCTATTTCTCAGTGCCTCCTGGGCTTGTTGGAAACTTTTATTCTGCTGCAAGTTCATAAATCAGCCGTAGAACAAATGAAGCTACCTATTTTCGGTGTGCTCCGCGCTCCACACGTAACTCAATCAAAAATGTATCTGCTGGATACAAATGCGCCCGGCTGGCATGAGGAATGAGGCAATGCTCGTTGCCCAGTTAATTCCGTGGCTTGAGGCTTGAGGCTTATGGCTCTGAGGTCTGGGTCTGAGTTTTGAGCCCGGCCGCCATTTTTACCTGTCGAAAATTTCCCGCAGGACGGCGATGGGAGCGATAGGAGCTGACGATGGTCTTGGCAACTGCAAAAATTGCACACTCATGCATGTTATTGCCAAGAAGCGGACACAGATATATGCTCTAGGCGAAGGGCGGTTGTTTTGGGGGAAAAGGGGGTGGGGAAGGGAAAGGGGGAGGGGGAAGGACCCAAAGCCAGCTGCTGTTATGACTGCGCTGCGCCGGCTTCCCAAAAAAGAAAAATTACAAAATTTCAATTTTAATATTAGTGGCGGCTGGCGACGCCAACTGCCAAGCGGGCCCCCAAAAGTTGCCCGATCCTCTGCACCACCCGCCCAACCACTATCCAACCTTCCACCCAAAACTACCCATACACCCACCACCACCCACAACGGGCTGCTTAGGCGCACGTTGGGCATGTCCTTGGCTTGCCAAATGAAATTCATAGCATAGTTTCGGTCGCAGCTCGGCTGTTGTGAACTCTATATTTGTACAGGCAAGATTGCTTGCGACGGAATTTAATAAGGACTTTAAAACTGTGCAAACTTGGAAATCATTTCTAGAAAGTACTTTATAAAAAAGTGTTTAATTTATATAAAAGTTGTACCTAATTTTACTTGGTTTAAAAAGTTTCACAAAAGATATATATTTTGGAGATTTCGTTTTAGATTAATTTTATTTGTCCCTAGACTCTATGGCATTCATTAATCAAATTAATTAAATGTAGTGGGGATACCATGTATCTTTAGTTGAAAATGAGGAAAATTGACTTTTATTTTATTAAATTTAACTTTACACATACAGATAATTGAATTCAATTTTATACTATACTATGTACATGTATGTGATAATAGGGTTTAAATATATCAACTAGAGAATTGAGAATCATCTTTACTTTATATAGTATAATTTCTAAAAACTCTAGCGATGTGAAATAACTTTCACAGAAGAATCTATCCAATTTTCATTTAAGCCTGTGTTAAATTCCCCTTTATTGCATTGCCGGACTTTAAATTGAATTCGCTGTAGAGCATATCCACTGTAATTGCAATTGCCTTCGCCCGCGTTGTTGTCATCCCGTTTGTTGTTATTGCTTTTCGGGCCTGCCTATATTGTTTTATGGCATATTCATATATCGCTTCCTATATCTTGTTATTTTTTTAGCCATATAAAACGGTTTTTTGTTGTATTAGTTGTAGTTGTAGTTGTAGCGGTAGTTCTGGGCCAACTGCCACCGCTCTTGTTAGCTGGAAAACGCCGCTGCAATTTTCAGTGACCAGGCTCAGGGGTAAATATCTATGTGTGTGTGTGTGTGAGTGTGTTTCACTTTGGGTGTTTTGTGCCACCATGTTAGAATGTCTGTCTATTTGTCTATCTGTCTATATGTCTGTCCGTCCGTATGTCTGTCCGTTTGTCTGTCCGTTTGTCTGTCCGTTTGTCTGCCCGTTGGTGTGTGTGTCGCTGGGCTGCACACATGATTTATGAATGAGTAACAAACTTGCTGCCGTGTAGCCGGAGCAACCAACGACGTCTTTTCCACTTTTCTTTTCCTACTTTTCTTTTTTTTTTTTCTTGTTGCCCCTTCTTTATTATAGTTGGCGGGTGTGTGAGTGTGTATGTGTGTACGTGGCAATTGCCACACATACACATACACGTTCATTTATATAGAAGGGGCTCTCGGATCGGATCGATAAAATGCAATTACAGGCATATCGCAAGTGCCAGTAGGCAACGGACTCCGACTCCTCATGGCAATAAGGTCGTACATCGTACATCGTACATCGTCCGACTGTACAAAAAGTCGCCATCGTTGTCCTCGTTCCCCTCGTCCTGGTGCTCATGCTCCTCCTGTTTCTGCTACCCCTTCTTCTACCCCTTCTGCTCCCCCAACTGATGCCCCCCTTTCTCCTTTCGTGGCAATGAAGGCTCCTGCTACAACTAATACCCTTTGATTAACGACACACATTTTCTATTGACTTGGCCGCTGGTCGCCTGTGAAGTTGGGCAGTTGGCCTTTACCGTTACTTACTTTTACCACCAACAGCAGCAGCAGCAAAAACAAAAAAAAAAAAAAAAAGCAAATAAAAGCAACAAAAAAAAGAAATGCCTGCATATTTCATCCGGCGATCGATGCACGCAATTGTAATTTGCAAGGCTGACATGTCCCGGCCAAAATGAATTGCTTAGCCAATGAGTCCTGCCAGTGGCCAAACTGTCCAACCAATGCATTTTTAATTGGAAAATTGGCAAATCACAAAATCGGCGAAAGCAGTTAATTCGTGGAAATTTCCTCAAGTGGTTTCCCAGGGTCATTATGGTTTCTGGTTCGATATGTTTGACTTAATGAGGCTTTCGTGTTTGTTCTTATTTTAGAGCGTTTAGCAAATTTAATATTTATTTGCAAAAAGTCGATTTCGTATTGCATTATGTATAGTTTCAGTGAACTTTCTTTTAATTTGGAGCCATTAAATGGTATACTACATTTTGATTTACCTGTTTAGTTTGTTATATTTCTTTTGTTACCGACTGACAAATTTTAAATGACGACTAAGACAAAATTTATATTACTTATTCGTTGCTATAATTCTGCGTTATCATACACAAATTGTATTGGAAATTTCTCAAATCGTGTTGATGAAAATGAAATGAAAATGATTTGCTTTCCCGCAAGCAATCTTCGTCAGCGTATTTTAGTTGGAAAACCAAAAAGCAAGAAGAAAATTCTTAAAAATTGTGTGACTCTCATTTATTTTACTCATTATGCTCACATGGTCCCCGAGTGTCTAAATCTTTGATGCGATGGCCGGGCGTCCTTCGCATTATTTTTATAATGCCTCATATTTGTTTTTATTGGCTGCCGACCCTGCAGCCTTCCCACTTTCAAGCCTTCCCCCTTTTTTTTTATGTATAGTATGTATGACTGCATCATCATGCAGTTTCAGCGTACTCCAGCGTCCAATTAAGCGAAATGTTCTGTGGGCCCACGGCTCTATCTCTGCAGCTCCCCTCCCCATTCTCCTCTCCCCAGTTTACTTTCCACAACGGCCCCCTTTTCGACGCCCACTCTTTTTTGCGCTTATCTGCGATGCGGCGCACAGAAGTATGCTACAATTTTTTATGGGCCGCGCACAAGCAAAAATCATGTTTTCTTATTCCCGTGTGCGTAATTTGAAGGGCGCAAAAGTTAACAATGTCCGGTGGTGTGGGTGGAATGGGGGTGTGGGGGGTGTGGATGAGGGGCAAGTGGCGGAATGATTGTGCACCAACAACTATTGATGCATGCGGCTGTTCGTAACCATGTGAGCTAATTACTTTTGAGCAGCGGCAAGGACCTCTGTGGATGTGGATGGGAATCGGAATGGGGATCGGCATGGGAAAGGGAGAAGGGGGAAGGAGGTTCCATGTGTATTTTGGTTTGTGCAAAATTGGGCACATCAATCTTAATGCGCCGTGTCTCAGGTTGTAGTCGGATCCCCGATAGGACCTCTCTCCTGCCAGAGGGACATGTCAATGGGACTCGAGACCCGGTCGCAATGCGAAATTCGGGGCGTCATTTAAAACTTTAATAAGCAAAATTGACAACGACAAGGTTTCGGAGGACACACCAGGACTCAAAATGGACACGCACTGGGGAAAAACCACAAAAAAAAAAAAACGCCAGACCAAAAGCTCTGATTTCAGGATTATATATTTAAGTATTAATTAAAAGAAGATTTTACCCCTGAAGCTTGTCCCGCATATCCTTTTCTTAATCAATAAGTTGAGAACATGTTCGAATAAATATTTTGATCTGCTAATAGTTGATTGAAATTGTTTTGAAATTAATTGTTCGTGATGTCTTTCAATATTCATAATTTAAACAAGATAAAAGCAATAATTTGTAAACTTTAGAAGGTTACAATCAATGTTAAATTTTAAATATAATATACCTTGTCCTCCAGTAGTTTTAAAATAAATATTTAACGCAGAAATATTTAGTGAGTCAATATTTCGGTTATGGGAAATTAAAAGTTTCAAGTAATAAAAACTGCATTAGCTGGCTGATTGGTAATCTCTTTTCTTTGGCTTGGCGAAGATGGATATTTAATTTAACGCGATTTTTCTGACGGTGCACGGCAAGCCGGACATTCTGACAGCCGGTCGGATGTTGAACGGACAGCTGGACAAACGCAACGGACGCAGTCGTGCGCTACAAGTTCGTGTAGCGGATGTACTCTGGAGATTTAAGCCTTCTGCCGGCCAGCGCACCTCAGCTGCTGACCTCGCTCGCCAGCACCGCCCACCGCCCACCGCCCACCGCCCACCGCCCATTTGCCACCTATGAACCACCGCCCACCTACCACCAAACACTGGCCACCCACTTTTGCAGCGAGCATCAGGCATTCACCAGCGTAAGAGGATGGCCCGTCTCTTATGGCCCTTATATCCGGTTGCATTGGCAGGTAATCTTTTCGGGTCCTTCTACATCCTGTTGCCCGGCAATTTTAATGCCCCGACAACGTTTTAAAACTGTATTAGCCCTTTGCTTATGAGCATCCTGCCATGCATGATACATTGGCCGTTGTGTAAGTGTTTAAGTGTGTTTCACTGCATTTCTGTGTGCGAGTGTGTGTGTGCATTTGCTAAGCTCTCGCACTTCCGGCTCGTTGAAGACCGGAAACGGGCCAGCAAATGTTTTGTGGCATTGTTGCGCACCACCAGCGATAGCGATAGCGATTGCGATAACGACAGACGATAGAGAAAACTCACCTCTGTGCCGATTGGTCTGCTTGTCAAACATCAACATGGCATCCTCGATCTGTAAATAGTTAAGAGGAAACGTGTTCGTTAGATAATTGAATTTATATATTATAATTAAATAGATATAATTGAATATACATATAGAATTTATATTTCCATAGGTTTATTAAGCCATCCCAACTGAATAGTTATGAATTGGTTAATATTTATTTCACTCTGTTGTCTGAACTTTAAATCGTTAAAAAAGTTAAGTAAAGCATTATGTATTTCTTAGAGTTCGCATTCGCATACTTTTCCCATCAGCAAGCAGTGGCCATTTTTCATTTCCCAACCCATTTCCCGCGACTTCGCCTGCACTTGTTCGCTTCTTTGTTTCAGTTGGTGCATAAGCATTCGAAGTTCGCCTCCTCGGTGCGAGCAACTCAATTAATGGCCTGAATAAATGTTCGCAGCAGACAAAACTGCTGCTAATTGCAAAGTGAGTGCGCACAATGGCCAACACACACACACACATACACACACATACACATACATTGAGAGTAGTGACCCACCCTGAAATACGCCCCTTCGACCGCCCACCGCTTTGAAAAGGGCGCAAAACTTTTAGCCATTATGGCGCAAAAGAACTTATAATGATAGTTGACTGTCAAACCAGCGCACTAACTAACTAACTAACTGCGCTGACTTTCTACTCACTGGCTGACTGGCTCATTACAGACCCGCTAACTGGACACGAGGGAATGATGAACTGCCCAAATGACTGACTGACTGACTGACCGACTGGATGACTAAATGTCATTTGATATTTTAATTGGCGTGGCCAATGAATGCAGCGAATGTGCTGCCAAATTGGCCATCACAATCAGATTGAGACTCAATTGCATTGGTCAACGGCAATTGTGCACTTGTTAAATTGAGGCATAAATGATGGACGACAGATATCAAATAATTTTGGAATTCCGACGACAGATATTTATTTTCATAATATTTTGTTGGGTCTTAATTAAGGTATTATATTGATACTGTAAAGCTGGAATTCACCCATTGACATTGATACTGGAATGTGGAATTTGGAATTTACCAAATTTCTTTGTTGTCCCTAACAGCTTGTGTTCAAATTAAACAACAGTTTACGGCCAGTTAACTAATTAATCCAACAGATTAGGCGCATTATTAAAATCACTTTGACAGTTGGATTTAATTTCGTAAAGCATTTTATGTGTCGCAATGGAAATTTAATTGATATGAAAGGCCTTAAGGGGTTATATACCTTTTTCAGAATCAAAAAATCGAAAAAAATTTTATGATTTTTTTTTGATGTACATACTTTCAACAATTTTTCTGCAAAATTTTTTTAGAGATCGGGGCACTAGAACCTAAGATACAGCCGTTCATAGCGCACGGTGTGCATGACTACCTAATGTCCACCTAAAACTTTAACCGCGATTATCTCGGAATCGCATTTTTGAGAAAAGGTCGTTGCGGTGAGCACGATATCTCGGTAACCACTACATCGATCGATTTGAAATTTTGGGGGATTGTTTGTAGATACAATAGCTAGTTCGTGAACGAAGGAATTTTATTTTCGATAAATTTTTCTATTTTTTTGGGGCGAAAAACTAAATTATTAGACCTCGAAAAATCGGTTTTTTTGAAAAAATAATCACTGTAACTGTAAAAAAATTTTTTTCGTAAAATCCTTCGTTCACGAACTAGGTAACACTATATACTAACGTAGTTTTTTTGTTTTTTTTTTTTTCGTTGAGCCGTTTTCTTGTTTTCTTGCTCACCGCAAGCCTCTAATGAAAAAAGGACTTCTGCGGCAAGGACTATAACTTCCACAATTCTTAAAAATTTCACTCAAAATTTCAGACGAATTAAGTTAAGGACACGTACTTTGATATAATATATATTGAATTTAAATAAAACAATGGCAACATGCTAAAAAAAAATAAATAAAAACCCTGTATTTCTCTGGTCAAAAAGGTATATAACCCCTTAAGCAGAGTTCAAAATTTTAAATTACCAAGGAAAGGTACGAAGAGGTAAATATGGAAATATTGATTCAAACCTTATCTTAAAACGTGTACATTTTACTAGTTTATTGTTTATCAACCATATTTTATTTTTTGTCAGGACAATGTTTGTGCATGAACATTTTCTTCAGTTTTGACTTAAATTGCATTAGTTTCACAGCCATTTGAAATGCAAGCTTTTAATTGAGCATTTGTAGATTTGATCAATTAGTCCAATCAACAAGCGTATTAATTTCAGGCAATTGAACTAACAATTTAACGACAATTTTAAACTGATTTTCGTGCGATCTTTTGAAAATTCCCTCTTAAGTTCTGAAGTAAGGCAGTTGTGATGGTATGGCACTCAATTTCCTTTGGCTTCTTTGACTACTTTGGCTCCTTTGGCTTTCTCCCAAGGGTCGTCCTGCCTGCCATTCAACATTATAATAATGTGACAACTTTGCCATCATCCCGCTGCTCGCTCGCTCAACTGCTAATTGCACATTTCTTGTCAAAGTTGCGATGCGGCCTTTAATGAGCTGCAAGCTGACCCCAAGACCCCAAGATCCCCCGATCCCCCACCTCCGACTCGCGACGCCTCTGGCCAATCCCCTCCTGCCCGACTGCCTGCTTATGGGCCATTGATTAAACTTAATCAATGCGCTTAAGGCAACTCGCAACTCCTGTGCACTGTAATTAAAATGCAGCCATGGTGCCAGCGAAGGCGGCCTTATAAAAATTAATTAAGCTTGCGCCGCAGTTTTCCCTTACATCCCCCTCCATCGCTGGAAAATTCTACAGCAGTAGCTGCACGGCGAAAAATGTTATTAAATATCAGTCCCTTGGGTGTCGCAAATAATTTATTTACTTCCATTTTAAACGTTTGTATCTCATTCAATTCGTAAATGTATTGATTGCTAACAGTAAACTCTCCAAAATGCATTTTTTTTTTTGTTCATTAAATGTAATTCCTGTGTGACTTCATATTCATAGAATATTTTCTTAATTATTATTTATATTTTACACACTTTATATCTTTTGAAAACAAATCTTCATTTTGTGGTTACCCTTGCCATTAGACTTTCATAAATCTCTATCATTTTAATGCCACTTGAATGAGGGGATTATGGTGTTTGATTTAATGCTGCCTCCCTCATTTTGTTAATTGTGTTTTTCCCGTGTAATATAGCTGCTGTTCGCGCATCACGATTCGCAGCTCTTCAAGTGCAGCCGTCGATGCAGGCAACTACAACATTGTTTTTCAATTAACAATCAACAACAATGCCGCAACACAATACAAACGAACGGCGAAGGTTACACGCGCCAAATGACACAAAAATTGCCAGCTCAGGTGTTGCAAGGATAAGGGCGGTGGGCCACAGGACTACGGACTGCGGACTACGGACTACGGACGGGGAAGGAGGCATGGCAGGCGGGGCAGCACAATCGCAATTGTTGTTGTTAATTAAGCGGGCAAGACTGGAAAAGCGAACACTGCGCTCGAATTGCGGCCTGTTGTTAATGTCCGCCCATCGATGCCCGAATGGCCCCCGTTTTGCCCCACTTGCCCCACCGATAGCTGTCATAATTACACTGCCCCCGGATCGGTGGCCAGCTCATTATGCCACCCATTTTCCGATTTCCCCCCACTTCCATTCCCATTTCTCATCGAGCAACCGCAAACTTTAATTCTATTAGCAAACGTTAAATGAACAGCAACAAAAAGCGGAGGTTGTTCCCGATATGTATATAATTTGGTTTACAGTTGCCTTTGAAATAATAGAAATTCAACAGACATTGGGAATTGTTTGTATTATTTCCAAATTGTTCAAAAGATATATTTATAGCTTTGTTGTCTAATCATGTAATTTGTATACCAAAAGTAACATGATAAATATTTTAAGATCCCCAACGATGATATTTAAGTTTTGTTTTTGTAATTTTAATATAAATGGAATGGTTTTTAACGTTTTTTTTATTTGAATTATTTTTTTCGAATAAAGTACTGAATTAAATATTTATGCTGTTTTTTTTTTTTTTTTTTAATTTGTTCAGTTAATGACTTATTTAAAGTTGTTGCACACCTTAAAGCCACATTGCTTGAAGCCACATTATAACCTAATTCATAGATAGCTTCAAGTAACTTAAGCAATTAAAAGCAGCTAAAAGTGCTATTATCTTGGCCGCAAATGTATATAAATGTGTGTGCCACTAACAAGCAGGCGCGCGTAATTTTATTTAAATCTGAATTCATTAATTCGTCATAATCCCCAATCATTGCGCCGCCTGCCAGCGAGGAGAACTTCAAAAAGCCATCAACGACAGACGTTGATGCTGTACCGCCAGCTCCCCTCATCTTCTCCCAGCAGCTCCTCCCTCCCTTTCTGCCTCCCCTTCCACCACCAACCACCCACCACCCACTATTCAGTAACCCATCGAACCGCCCAAAAGCCAGGCCATTCATTTGGCTCATTTTGTGTACAAAAATGCTGCGCTCAGTGGAAACGGCGACGCTTCATTATCGTAATCGTTATATAAAACAGCGGGCAGACTACGGAATTCAGACGATGACGATGACTACAGTGTCAGACATCTGTATATGTGTCTGTCTGTATGTATTTTATGCGTTCGGCGGCACATTATGTGCTTACAGTGAGTCCTAGACGAGGCCACTGCTGTTGACATTAATGAATGTGGCCGACAAAGAGTGCTGCGGGTGATTTTTATTTGAGTTCCCGCCTCCTGAGAAATTAGGCAGTAGCCAGCCGAAAAAAAATTAAAGCTGGTTAAAAAGCGGAAAGGTTAAAGTGCCTGATAGTCAAAGGAATCAGTTTCCTTTTTGAATATTGGAGAAAAAGGACTTTAAGTCAATGAGCTTCTGGGTTTTTATTAAATTAAAATGTTGTTACAACTTGCTTTATTGCTCGTTTAACAACATTATTTTTTTATTCTTATAGCTATTTTTCGACCTATATAATTCAAGGCCGCACAAACACAAAGAGCATAATCATTTTCTTGATCGAATCTTTTTGTAATGATAAAG